CAAGGCATTTTCAAAGCAGCCCTTGCAAAACGTGACTTCCGTGCGGGATTGAACCGCACACCTTGACTCCTTACAGGGAAAACTTCGTTCTTGTCCCTCACCCATTTACAAGATGCAATTGGTTAAGGGCGTCCATGTATACTAAGGTCATACTAAGGCATTCCTCGTTCTGATCGGCAAATATTGCCATTTTGTTTCGATAGATATTTCGAAACGATTTTTCAATAGTGTAATGAAAACGAGTTTTTAAATGACCCCTCTTACTTCAGCGACATCTCGAATAAGACATAAAGTGAAGAAAGAATCAGATGAAGTCGATGTTTTCAGAAATACTGCCTGAAAATACTTCGATTTTTTTACTTTGGACAAAATTCTACTAATATTCGGGTGACGCACCTGTAATGTGCCCCGAGCACACATTTTCCAAACAACCATATAGTCTGGTCCATCGTAAGAGAAGCCCAAGAACTTATTTACATTTTCGTGATCGAGTTTTCGCATCTGCATTCGTGAGCCTATCGCAACGAATTCTTTTTTTCCTGACCATTTACTTACCTTCAGACATTCGTTTTGTGTCACTGGTGAGAGAAACGACGTCGGATGTTTGGTGATGAGAGCCGGCTCGTTATCAAAGACGGCTACTGTGAATATAGTGTTTGATCTGTCATATGTGCTGTTTGCTGTAACTGTGGACGGTCCTGATCTAAGTGAATGGAGGCTCTTTTTTTCTCTTCCCTCTTTTTCCTGAAATAAACAGACTTGAATTCTTCACTTTACATTTACCCATACTCCTATAAAAGAAGATTCCAGTTGACGTCTCCTTCAGTTTCAGACGTCATATGTCAGCGATCGATTGTAATTCTGAACCATCCCTGACTATTGCTTGTGTATTTATTTACCTGATAGATTATTTATAGATGCTTATAAATGATTAGATATCCAGCTTTCAGAAATAAAAAGCCCTGTCAATGGCATGAGGGCGGAAAGGAGATAAATCAAGGATATGTTGTAACTATGTATGATGAAGTTAAGAATCAGAGCATAAGAGTCCATCTGGGATCATGCTTAAGATCTAACTATCTGATCCCTAGAGTCTTTGACCCATAGCATTACCCGAATGCAGCACGCAGTAGCGAATACTGTAACAAATAGCTATAGTATTGCACATGACGGAAATATCGTTAGACCCCCCTCCTACGTCACATTCGTCTACAAATTCCGACCTCAACTTATTCCATAAAGCCTTATAGGTTGCTGATTCTGCAATTTTCTTGCTTTCTCCGCCATCGGTGCACTGCACCGACACTCCCGTTTACTAATTCATAAAGGGTACTTAAAAACATTGGGAATTCTAAGGCAATGGTTTCGATACGACTCGAACTGATTTCGTCTATAGTGCAAAGCCATTGAGCAGACTTTTTCGGGGACGTAGCATTGTTACTTACTCTTAAGCCTGAGTTACTACTTTCCTTCAACTGCGATCAAAGACAGTTGTAGGCACAGTTCACGATAATTCGAGGTCACTTTTTAGGCGAAATAAAGGAGGTTTTGGTATAGAAAGGTGTATAGGCGGCGAAGGAGGTGCGAAAATCCGTGGATTTCAAAAACATGTGGTCTTCAGGAAAAAGTAAGGGCTTGAGTTTTCTGAGATTATGAGGACGAGAGTGTCGCGTAAGACTTTTCTCGACATGTCAGCTGTGCAGCACTCGCTTATTGAACTGGCTACAGTAACCGAAAAATGCCAAAGATCGCCTTTGATATGAGTCGGGACTGCATGCGTTCGAGATTCCAGGAATTTTAGGTTTATCGCTCTCTCCTTCTATTGCCATTTTGTTGTACTGCCGTTGTTGTTGTTTTTATTTTTCTTTTGTTGTGCCACATATTGTTGTTTACTATAATAAGCTATTTGAATTTTCAAGGTTACTGCTCTTCCATGCGTGGTGTGGTGTTTTAAGAGCAGTTTGAGCACTGCCACCGCCATGTACGGCATACAGTGAAGGCATCATTTCTGAACCCTTACTGCGCCTTTTTTGGGCTCTTTTCTGACAAGACAGCGTCCCTTATGGCATTCTTAAGGGCCGAAGATTCATCCTAAGGGAACCCATACGAACTGTTTCAGTAGTAACCGTCCCCCAAATGTTTTGACTGTGTCACATTTTTGTACTAGACGGTTCCATGGGGAACTTAGAGATGGGTGTGCAATATTTCCCATTTTATCTTCGAAATCCACTGAATGTTAGTAGTAATCAATCAGGCATTCCAGTATTTCGGTGACTAAATAAAAAGGGGAACGAGTGTGGGCGGACACTCCTGCCAAACACTCTGACGACTAAAAATAAGTAGAAATTACCTCCGTCATCAATAAAATGCGCTGGTGAGCTATCTTCCATTCATTCATCAGTCGCTGCTTTTCTAGCTGGTTTGCTCTTAAAAACGAGTTCTCGTGAAGGTGGCCGGTTTTAAGGCAGACAAAATAATAAGAAAATAAAAAATGAACCTGTACATGTAGCATGCGAACCATACAAGACAAACCACGAGGATGAAAACAATAGCGGCGCCAACTCCTATATAAGGAGCATAGATTTCCCAGAATTCCCGCGGGCATTCCTGCATAGAAAAACCACAGCGTGGAATAGTGAGAGGTCTAAAAATGAGGTTGAGTAACGTGTACAATTGGCTACTATTCAAGATTTTCTTACTTTTTTCCATTTCTAGTTGCCCATATAGTCGTACTCGGATCGGCGGAGTTCAGAGTTATGTTCTGAAATTGTAAGAGAGTTGATCGCAAGAAGGTGCATCTGATCCTCAATAAAGGTTCTGCTCATGAAACAGTTTCAATGGAATCTGGGTGAATTTTGACGCTACCCCGTACGGGAGCAGTCGAAAATTTGAGTGTCTTATCATGGTAGTCTGCTGTACCAATCCTTGACAAAATTCTCGCCAGTTTTCTATCGAAGTAATCCTTGGATATGGCCTTTCTCGGGGATTTGGTGCACTGCACAGTCAAGTGGTTGTCCTATTCTGCAGTAAGCCTTGCTGGATGGTCCGAACTTCGGTTGAACAAGCAAACCATCGAGGCCACTGCTATAGTAAGATTAGCGAGTCCGGCGCTTTACCGAGTCTGTTTCATGCCTCCAGTGCTAACAAATGCGGTGGCAACCTACCATTTTGGCGTCTTCATAAGTCAACGTCATGAAAACTTGTTGTTGAAAGTTGGAATCCAGATAGTAGAGCATGAAGACGGCAATACGTGTGTTGTTCTCTGTCATCTGCACCTCTCCAGTCAGACCTGAAAACATACTTGAACCTTAGCGCAAGGGATCTACTTACCTGTGCACACCGCGCACCGGATAGTGCCAGGTAGGTTAGAAAGAGGAATCTTTCGCGAAGAGCTCTATAAAGAAGGCAAAGTGGGAAAATCATCGGCTTCCGACGGGACTCGAACCCGAAGCGATTGCGAGAAGGGTATTGATGATGTAGCAGGTGCAAACCCACTGCTCTGAGGAAACAATTAGAGTTTCGAATCCTGTCAGAGGCCAAAGTCTTGCTTGCAACTCTCCACTCTTGAGAGATTGCCAACTGGTCGGAAATAACAGCAGTTGGGAAGACAGAGGAAGTTTTTTTGTCGATGAAAACAAAAATTTATTGCCGACAAAGTTCGTACACAGTAAAAACGAGAACCTAAGCTTATATAGAGTAAACAAGTGCACTGACATATGAGAGCCATCCATTCTGTCTAGCAACTTCGCAGCGCGCTTCGCAAGCGGCAAATTCGCGCGGCATCGCAGCTACGTGGGTTGACTTGCACTTCTTCAAGGAGTCCTAGAATAACCGGTAATAAACCTCACATACCTGAAAAATCACCAGCCATTGCCTTTGTGATGTTTGTTGCATCATGGTAATAGGTTGGTTCACGCGATAAACCCATGCCAAACATATAGAACGTGTCATGAAGCTGTCTTGCATATGTGCCTCTCTTAACATTGGAAGTTACATATTGAAATTGAATCAAAAAATAAACAAGTTGGGATTTAGTTTGGATCTTGAATGGGTTGGAAAGTTCAAAAATGGAAGATTTTTGACCTATTGTACATCCTCCACATTTCAAGTGCCAGGACAACTCCAGGATGCCTTTCCTTGAAGGACAGACTTCAGCTAACTCCTATTTTGGACAATGCTGTTGAATTTGATCGAGATACGATCTTCTGCAGTTGCATACTGCCAGTTCAAGCAATGCACACAACCAACAGTTGATAAGTGGAAGAGTTCAATTATTTCAGTACAAAAAAAAAACAAATCAGATAAGGAAAAAAGAGAAATCCCTCGCTCCCAAATCGATCGCGATCCAGGTAGGTTGTTTCCAAACCCGCAGGTCTAGCCTTTGGCCGGATTGCGATCTTTTCCGTGGTTAATAGATGGAACGATATCTTCCAAGGCAACCATCCCAAGGGTCCTGACACGACAAGCAGATTCTATAGTGTTTCCCTAATAGTTATGTCAGTTGACCGTAATGGCGCTTGCTGACTCACACAGTCATCTATTTTTTTACAACACCCATTTTCTCTGTAATGTTGGTCCTTTTAATGACTCACCGATTTGTTGCCATTTGTGAGACACTCCTCAGTATTGCAAAACAAAGGGTCTTCACGTACTCTCCGTACGACATCGGTCTTGAAATGCGTCATATAAGTCTGGTTAGACACCGTGGCATCAATATCGAGCTGGAAAAGGGACTTCATTTGTCTATGTTCGAGATTGGTCCATGACCTGTTGCAACTTACCACGATTACTCGCTTTGCAGCTTGTTTGGCAATAGCATCCAGGCCATCCGCGTTCTTATTTTCAGTATCCTCCCAAAAAGCTGTGAGTCCACTCGAAACTGTAACATCTTTGAGTAGAAATATCCTATGCAAGTCCGTGGTTATAGCTTACCAAAGCGTTCTTGCTCCTAATGCTCCCAGATTAAAAGCGCATCCAGCTTGTAGGTCCAAAACTACCCCTCCACTGTACTATCGCAAAGATCGGATGCCCTTATGAGGGACCCGGCCTTGATAATAGCTAAGTTTGGGATATGATATTAGGCTTCTTTTTAGCGATTGCTTCTTGCTTCACGAATACGAAAATGTTCTCAACTCAGTGAATCGTTTGCCATTTTGTGGCTTTTCGGGAACTGAATACTATAAAGTCAGTGCAGAGGCACTCTCGTCACAACCTTCACGGATCTTCTAATTCTTAAATTTTTTTGATAAATCTTATAAATCTGGTCCTCAGAAGGTAATGGTGATGTAATAGCAATAGGTGTAGTATCAAATACGCATGGTCACGGGTTCGAATCCTGGACCGATATCCGCCTAGGCTCTTAGCCAAGACTCTCATGCCTCCCGGGCCGGGTAATTGGTACTAGACTCGTCTGAGAGAATAAAAGCACTGACTTCAACATCGGCTGACCACCGCAAGTATAGGCGACATAAGCATTTAATGCGCCACTGCGATTCCGAATGGAAGTCGAATGCGGGGAGCATCCTTACGGCAGGATTGATTTACGCCAAAAAAGAAGTATCTTCTGATGAGTTACTTTTGAATTCTGTTGACTTAAGCTGTTTCCTTATGAAACACACCGCGAACGCAACGACCAACCGAATTTGTCAATAAGTAATGCCAGTCTTTCGAAGTCTGCAAAGAATACTTACGGACGTCCTTTCCCGTTCCTGTGTGGCCTGAAAAGCAAGTTGCTCAGAGACGGTAATCCCAAAAACCCATGAGTGGAAACACATACCAAAACCCTGACTTCTGGTTGAGAACATAATAAAGACGTATTCGTCTGTTGTCATGCCGGCTTCGGATGCTTTAGCCAAGAAAGCTCGTCTGTCCAATGGTTGATCCATGCAGAAAATTACCACTAAAATGGACCGAACTCACGTTTTCGTGGCTTCACCAGAAAGAGCAATTCATTGGGATTCTCAGATAACTTTCCTCTAGAGCGCTGCTGAACCAGCTGCAGAGTTCGTAAATAGTCGACCGGATTTTTTGGATTCAGAACCTGCTTGACCGCTATAGATGGTACAAAAGTATTGGAAGGGTCACTCACTGCATTCTGGAAAATTGTAGAAAAAAATCAGTCGGGTCTATAATGAGGACCAGTGTGTTACTGACCACAAAGGAGTCCATCAGGGCACTACAGTAAGGAATTTCACTCTCTGTGTAAAGAATAGAGACGATGTCCCATCCAAAATTGGCCAGCACTTGTAGAGCACAGAAGCCGATCCTCAAATGACACCATTTGGTTTTGGAGCTGGAAAACAGAAGATAGAGTGATAACTTACGATTGTGGCGGTTGAGTGAGTGTGGTGACGTAGGGGAACTTGCTTTCTTCCCCATACCGACGATCCGATGCCAATCCCCAAGCCATCCATGGAACCCGGAAAACATTGGAGAGATGGGCCATGACCAACCCGGCTAAAGAGAACTTTGTGGTAACAGGTAGTTTTCAACAGAGTGAAAAAATCATTTCGAAGAAGAGAAACAATTCTTCCGGGAGAAGAAAAATACACAAAGGAAGGTGTCGCAAAGCCTTACAAATAAGTGGTTAATCGATAGTACCAAAGCCAAGTTGGATGTGTGCTTTCTTAGCGATTTCGTTAAAAACTGTAGTATCATGCGATATACTGTAGTAGATTCACTCTACACCATCACACGGGAGGAAGCAACCAATGTTTTCGTCACGGAGGCGAGGGGAGGCAGAATTCCAATAGTTTGAGCGATGAAGAGCATGATGCTCGCTCAGTACGAGTGCTGCTCAAGTTCCGTCAGAGGCCAAAGTTTTGCCCACAGCTCTTCATTTCTGTGAGACTTTCGTATGCAACGGAAACACCAGACCAGCATATTTATTGTGGAAAGTTCCCCTTTTTTCCCGAAACGTTTCTATCAAAGGCGCTTTTTGGAAAATAGCAAGGTCTACTAGAATTCGTTCAATTTAACACGATTCCGATAGTAATAGGGCTGTGAACTCCAAAAGCCACTCCTTACTTGGTCGATTTGCATAGCTTCGAGCCAACACCTGGGACATGAAGTACCAGTAGTATCGAATCTGACTCGCTTTTCTGGAAAGGCCAACTTTCCTGACTTTGACGGAATATTTACTCGTTTTTCTGCGAAGAACAGATCAGTTGAGTGCTTTCCGCTGAGTATAATTTACCATTTCAGTAACCCGCCTTCCGCCTTCAGAACCTGAGTGTTCAATTCGAAGGTCAAGGGCTCTGTCACGAATCAATGATGTTTTCTGTAAATCGGCATCCTTGGAATGAGGCAGCTGCCTTGAGGATTTGCTACAGTACTGGCAATAACTAGAAAGATTTCGCTAGAGAGGAGTAATAAAAACATGACGGATATTAGGACTATCTCATCCCTAATTGCACTTCAGTGTTCGCTTGATAGAAAAACGATGGATCCTTGGGAGACCAATAAGATCTTTGAATGTCGATTAACTTGAACTATACACTCACCGTCAGGGCAAGGTGGCCCGATAACAACATCAACCTTCCTCCTTTTCATAAATTCAATCCCAACACCGACTGCTTTTATCTTATCACATTCCGTATACTCCACCAGAAAACTGAAAAAAACAGCACTTAGTTAGCCTTTCATCGTGTTACTTTAGAGCACTGTGATGTAGTGGCAAGTGGTGCCTCATCGCATAAGCCTAGGCCAACCAAGTCTTCCGTCCCTACGAGCTTGGGAAAGGCTGTTACTAATTGAATCCCTCGAACTATGTTTTTACTTTCATTGGTTTGTCGATTACTTCCTCATATGAGATCCCTCTCACTTGCAGGACAAAACGCTTTCAAGCTCTTTCTTTCCGCTAAGAAGCTATCGTTAGCGTTTTTATAGGAAAATTGAAACAAAGCACATAATGGCTGCCAAAACAGCCAGTTTGTAGTCCAGGCTTTGCAAGTTAGACCTCAAACATAAGTTCACTTTTAGCTTGAGTGCCAATTCCTTCCTTTTTTTGTAGTACATTTGTATTACTTTAAAAATAGACAATTACATCCGGACTCTGCTTCTGTGTCGTATGACACACTCTTGATTGTAAAGTACAAATCAGACTGTGCTACCTGAAGTCAAAATCGCTAAAATCATATTCTTCCTTGATTTTGTCCAAGGCCATTCCTATAGCTCCTCCGCAAAGAGACCATCCTATGCTTGACGTCATAACATGTTCAGTTGCTGCTATGCCAACTACGACCTGCAAACAGCTTTAATTGAGTTACCGTATGATTTTCGAGAAAGGAAAAGGAAAGACTGAGTAGGCTATCGGGTAATTTCCCATTGTTTCTGCCTGGTTGACAGACCCCTATATTGGAATTTATGAAAAGTGCACGGTTCGAGACCAAAACTTCCGCCAGAGAAGTAAGCTTTCATGGTTATTTGCTCACAAATGTCGGAACACTGTCATGTAAGTTGACTGACTCTGGCAATCTATTCTATTCACGCGTAACGTAGCGTAAAAGGCATGGCGTGAACCGGACCTATTAGTAAATTTACCCCTCCCCTTGACTTACTAGTTGAGAATGTGTCGAAACAATTATTCATTCAATTTGAACGTCAGTCCTAGCTGAGCCGCTGGTTCCAGCTTCACATCCCTTCCACTAAGACTTACAGTAAGATTTCAGCTGTTCCTTCATGAAACTCAGCTTCTATTGAGACTGTCCTCCGAATAAACGACTGTGACCTTAGTATTCTTGATGAAGAATAAAATATAACACTCTAGGCGTTGATCAATCCCATCTGAGGGATGCGCCCCGCATTTGACTTCCATTCCGAATCGTAATGTTGTATTGAATGCGTGTGTGGCCTATACAATGACTTGTGGTGGGCAGCCGATGTACAAGTCAGTGCCTTTATTTCTTCAAGCGAGTGTGGCACCATACAAACGACGCCGGGGAGATGGAAGGTCTGCTTGGCTTAGGCGGATGACCATGCAAACCGAGGCCATGGTGGTGTGAGACAGTTCGCCATTTTCCACTACACCACCTCCGGCCAGGCCTTTTGATGCTTTGAAAGTTGATTGTGCAAATGTTTTCAGCTTAATCACTAACCAACTAAGTCTTCCTACTGTTGACGTTTTTCCTAAAATTCTCTCATACTGCAGACTGCTGATGAGTAAATATAGAAAACAAAGTTATAGCTGAGTCTTAGTTTTTTCGCATTTCTTTTTCAGTTATCAAGTGGGTAAAGCGAAGTTAAGGTACAAGCTAAGGAAGCCTACTTTTTTTTCTTCTGTTCAGAGCATTAGATCTTATTTTAGACATGGTGTCTGCTTTTCTTAGGTACCATTCTGTTACTTGATGAGGAACCATGCCCACTTTCTCAGCTTCCTGTTGGTATTGTCCATGGGACAAGAGTATTTACATCAATGATGGATTTTGTTCCGCGTTAGACGGTGTTTCGTACATACTGCGTTGAAGACAGTTTCTCATAACAAAACTGATGTAAGACTTGTTATGGGGGAAGAGCCATAAAGTCGAACAACAGATAACGATGTGAAAATGAACACATTTGAAAGGAGGCTTACTTTCTTCTTTGTTACATTGGCATCTTGTGTTATGACCAGTTGAGTGTCGATTAGATAGAAGATACTGAGCAACATCATTGTGATGTAGAACGTTGAAATGAAGTTGAAAGGTGTTTTCGTTTATATGAAGTAAGGCTTCAAAATTCATTTGCCTTTAATCCCGAAGAGACATCAATATTCGAGAAAGGAGTCTTCAACAACAGAGCTGAGAAAAGGGACTCTGAGCCCATTTGCCACTACTTCGAAAAGCTGGGATTACTTGAATGCAACACTGCAATACGCTCCATCTCAGCTGTCATACCTAGGGCTACAGTAAAATATTATTGGATTGAATTTGGATAAGCCATCTAATTCACTTTCCTGGGAAACTGCAATAAAAGATTTGAGGGCATATTCGGTAAGTGGGCATAATACATAAACCCTACACAGCGCGAAAGATTTCCAGAAGTTGAAAGGTTAGCCTGATCGAGAAAACGCCTATGTACGGAATGCGCTATGTTATTTGACGTTCAAGTTGAAAATTTTGTCGGATAATTGAAGAGCTTTCTCTTTCTGGCAGATGGTGCAGATAGTCGCCCTGCTGCTTGATCCACTTATTTCCATTGAATCTTGAATACATAAAATATCTCACAAGGTTGGCGATTTATTTACAAAACTTCGGACTCGGACGGGACTCGAACCCGTACTTGTGCTTTCCGGGCACCGTGCTCTATCCCTTACACTACCGAGCCCCCGCTTGACCTTGCCTTCTTAATGGCTTCCAGCGGCCAATATCAACCCTGAACCGTCAACCTGAAGGCTTTACATGATAGTAATTGTTTTGACTTGATGTTTTGCCATTTATGACTTTATGTTTACAAAACATCAAGTCAAAACATAAAATGTCGTTTCAGCGAAGAGGCGGCCACTCCATAAGCGCCAAGAGCACTTGTCTGTCTGTATATACATACGCATGTATACATGTATGCATGTATGTATTATAACTCACTCGCAATCATAAGAATAAGAGCAACTTTGCGAAGAATGTTTATTGTTGATTGACCCTGGCAAACAATCACACACAAACACCACAAGTTTTGGCACAGAGCTGTGATGCAAGGTAGTATTTCAATATGTTGGTGCATATGTAATCGGGGCTGCCGCTGTGGGCCGAGCAGTATGCTTCACCTCCTCTGTCTACGCACGGCTGAAAAGGTTTAACCATAAGAATAGAATCCATGAAAATGGCTGGGAATCATCTCGTCTTAGATGTCACGTATTACATTTTCAGATTTCATAGGGCGTGGTGGCTTAGTAGGAAGAGACGAACTCTATCACATACATGGCTCAAGGTGGTTCGAATCACTCGATTGGAAAAAAAATATAAGGAGGGGGGGGGGGGGGGGGGGGGGGGNTATAAGGAGGGGGGGGGGGAGTGCGTCTCCGAAGGGAAATTCATGAAGTCAAGGATTTTAACTCCAAAGAAAGAGACCCCACGAGTTTGGGTTCTGAAGATGGAATAATAATAAAAATGAATTATATGAATGAGTGACTGTGCTAATTTATGACCCTTTCGTACGTGGTGGGCGCCTGAACACCTTCTACTCGAAACATCATTCTTATCATCCCAAACAGAGTTCTAAATGAGCCTGAAAGCGGGCTGGTTTCTGTGTATTTTTGTCATGGTTTCGATCCTTTTTCATGCGGTTTCAATACTACAATCTTGCTCATCTTGCTTGCTCTTCTTCATGCTTGCCGTTCTCCCATGCCATCGAAGAGGGATTGAATTAGCATATCGTACCATTGAAAAGGGACTAAAATATTATAAAATACCCTACTATAATAACCTACAGCTTTGGTGGTGACTGCTGCCTCAGTTGTGAAGGCGATGAGCAGGAAAAAAGCACAGATAATGTAGAAGAACATATCGAATGCTGCTAAACTGAATGCAGACTGATGTTAACTGAGCCTACTTATACTGTATTATCTGAAAATTGAGAACAATGCTATTGTTTCCGAAAATGCAGCTTCATAGTTCAGAGTTCAGGAAAAGAGTTCTTTGCAAGCTCTGAAATTGATGTTCTTTTACAAACGACGGAACCATTTTCAAAAGTATTCGGAAAATGCTAGAATTATAGGCGATATCTAGAGTTTTGAAAGAAATAGATTAGTATCGATGGTTCCACTTTTTCTCACTTTTTCTGCGATCTTTGAAAAATTGTAGCGGTTAACGCTTTTGAATTTCTATTGATCGTCAAATTTTTTCAAATAAAGAAAACATTCTTGAAGCGTTTAAGCGATTCGAGCGAAATTGTAAAAAAAAAGTTCAAAAAATGTAAACCAGAAAGCCTGCGAAGAGCTTTTCCAGTCTCTGACTGTGAAAATAGCTGCGATTTCAAAAACAATAGCAATGTTCTCGATTTAGGTAATAGAGTACAAATAGGCTCAGTTACCATCAATCTGCAATCAGTTCAGCTGCATTCGATATGTTCTTCAACATTATCTGTGTTCTTTTCCTGCTCAACGCCTTCACAACTGAGGCAGCAGTCACCACCAAAGCTGTAGGTTGCTATAGTAGGATATACCATTTTTCTGTGAACGTCACTTCCCACTAAACCACCACGCCCTATGAAGCTTGGAAGTGAGTGCATGCTTTATTCTTATGTCTACTTTTCTTTTTCAGCCATGCGTAGACAGAGGAGGTGAAGCATACTGCTCGGTTCACAGCGGCAGCCCCGATTACATATGCACCAACATATTGAAATACTATCTTGCATCACAGCTCTGTGCCAAAACTTGTGGTGTTTGTGTGTGATTGTTTGCCAGGGTCAATCAACAATAAACATTCTTCGCAAAGTTGCTCTTATTCTTATGATTGCAAGTGAAGTATATTTACATTTAGGTAGCTTTATACGAGTACAACAATACAACAATTAATCACCAGTCAGTCACAGCTTCGAATGATTCTTGCGGTTCCTTCCCAGAAACTGTTGAGCACCTTCAAAACCTTTTGTCAGCAACTTCTACGTGAAAATGAACTGTCTAGTATTTGCTTACCAACAACTGCCTCAGGAATGACTGAACAACTGGCAAATTCAAAATCCATTGCATCCCTCGTATTCAAGCTGAATGAGGACATCACCGAACGTCGATCGGCCAGCATACAGTTGTATGGATTACTGATTATCTGCTTCGCTAATTCAGTTGCACAGTTTAATGCTGAAAATGAGCAATGCAGTGATATGAAGACATAACTAAGAGCAACATGATGTATGATTGAATGTTTAAGAAAGCTGTAATATTGAGAAGTTCGGAAAAATTTTCTAAGAAACCTAAAAACTAGGGGTGGTGCACTTTCCCATGGTCACATGAACGCACGCGACAGTGCTTTCACTGCACTTACCGTAGTCAACATTACCGCACTCATCAACACAACTCAGTTCTTACCCTTACTAGTGGCATGCATGGCACGTCGTTTGAGAACAAGACGAGCCTTCCCACAATAACTTCTTGTTGCCAACATTGCGTGAGTTGGTAGGGGAATGAGCAGGTCTCCAGCTTCACAGCACAATCCACAGCACAGCACAGCTTTGAGTTCGCTGTTTGACACGTCCATAAGTGGGCGTAATA